GGAGAGGAAAGAGAGCAGAGGGGGGAGAGGTGCATGATGGGAGCTCCCCCAGCTGTCTGGGCCTTTAGTAGCAGAACTGTGGGATGTTTCGGGGGTCTCTGAGCCCGCCCCCCCTGACTATGAGTGTGCTTGCCCTTTTTCCAGCTCACGCAGCCGCTGTGCAGCGCTGCAGAAACCAGAGCAAAGGTCCAGAGCTCCCTCCAGACGCTGAGCCCTCGACACAAGAGGCTGCAGGAGCCAGACGCCTACACGGTGAGCCTCAGTCCAATCAGCGTCAAACACCAAAAAAAAAGGTTTCCTCTGAATCACAAAGCCGTATGTGTGGTCTCCCTCCCACCAGGTGGCGCTGTCGGAGACACTCCACAACCTGGTTCAAGAGCTCCAGAAATGCAGCAGTGACAGCAACAACTTCCTTTTAGCCAACTAAAGATTGTTTTTTGTTCATTCTTTTTTTTTTCCGAAGTGCCTCACCTAAAGCGCTGCATGATGTCATCGCTGCGCTCTCCAGACACAAAAACAATCGAGATGAGTTGTGGCCTCAGTCCCCGACATTTAATCCCTCTGAAACCGGTTTAAAAAGGACCAGAAGAAAAGATCAGATCAGATTATTTTAGTTGTTTTTATAAAGAAAAAACTTCCACACAAACAGTGGTTGATTAATCTCACACAGTTTTATTCTCATGTGGTCGTTTATAAATGGACAAAAAACAAAAAGTAAGCGTAAGTCCGGTGCGTCTCTTGCCATCTCTAGTATTATGCAAGTGTTAGCTAAACGACTGCCAGCCATCGTCATGCAAATATCTGCCGTTCGTATTAACAGGTTCATGATTATATTCACACCACCTTTTAATTTTGAACATGTTTTAATGTTCAGAACTCATCATTTTGAACCCCATTCCTCCTTTCTGATAGTCTGCTCTGATTGGCCAAAAATGGTTGAGCGGAAGCAGGAGCTCAGCCTATAGCTGTGTTCAAATGCAGCTTTAGGGAACATGAGAGTTAAAACGGCCGGATCTTATTTCAAGACTTGCACATATTAATTATACCTTCAAAATCTTTGAGCAAGAAAGGTAGTTTAAAGGAAAGAAATATGACCTATAGAAGGAGAGGTCTTCTGTCAGGCCTCGCTCTGTTTTTACGGTGTGCTAAACTAGCAAATCGTTCTGCCAATAGGTGAACTTATATGGACACTAACTTAAGCAGAAATTAAAAAAAAACATCATCTCCTTAAGTGGGAGTGCACTGAGACTCCGCCTGCTCAGGACCAGTGAAAGGAAACGTGGGTTTCTGGAGTAAGCTGAGCTCAGATTTGCTGATATTGTCTGTGAACATACCTCAAATGTACATGGCTGTGCTGTAAATGTCCATGTTTGTAGTCTATAACATCTATTAAATTTGGTCGCAGCCTCATAATACGTTGTTCTGCGCTTGATTGAAACTTCAAACTCGTTTTTCAACCTTCTTGCTGTAACTGATAGCCTCCTTTGGGACTCTTTCGTGTTTTCTGCTTTTGTCCACTCTGCCACGATTCTCTTCCACCGCACCACATGTGAGGAGGCTGCTGGACCGTCCATTGGCTGGCTGCTGACCAGTGACTGCGGAGGCACCCAGAGGACATATGGAGCCCATCAGACACGGAGAGGCCGGGATATCGTCCATGACCGTCTCATCCCTCTGAGGTGGATCAGCCAGCACTCTTCTACTCCACACGTGGGCTTTCTTTATGGCCTCTTCACAGTTTGGCGGGTTGTCACAGCTGGGAGGAGTTTTCAGATCCTTTATTTCACAGTTAGAAATGCACCAAATGGAAAGGAAATCTCACTCAAATACCAGCTGGATTAAAAGCAAGAAAGGATAGTTTATAAGATTTTAATGTGGCTCAAAAGTGTCTTCAGGTTTCATTGGTCTATGTCTCGTGGTTGTCTGTTTTATGTAAAATCACCAGGTTAAATATGTGTAAATAGATGTCAAATGGCATGTAGACCTTGTCCTTTGTGCTAAACGTTTGAGAGTTGCTTGTTTCATAATTGGTTGTGCTTAATTTGTGTGGTTTAATCTAAAAAAAAAACAAAAAAAACATTTTCAATAAGTGATGGCATGTTGTGGATAGAGATGGACGGTTGGGTCTGCTCTGGTCCGTCCGGATCAGAGGGAGCTGGGCCGGAAGGAGAGGCTTTCAGGTTCCTGCTCCATCTTTATTCCAACCAATCCCCTCTGCTCACAGGTCTGGGTACAGACCCACAGAAGGAAGACGACGGCCCATCCTACAGTAGACATGTGGACTGTGGACTGAACTTCGCAGGAAGAAATGGACCAAAGGAGGCATCCAGACCATTTTGGTCTCGGACTCCGCCAGCCTGCAGGTTTTAGATGTTTCCCAGTCTCAACACACCAGACTCTGATTGAGTAGAACTTTAAAAAAAGATTTAGTTCAGCGAAATTATGTTTCTTGTAGAGCTACGTTTAAATGAGCTCTAACACAAGAAACATCCCTTTTCGGGCTAATATTTCGAGATGGAAAAGGAGACTTTTCCATGTGCCGGGCAGCTGCCAGTGGGTGACCGGCTGTTATCTGAACCTAACTTGACCTGCTGACCTGGAGTGGAGGTGAAGGTGGTGTCAGCCCCCGGGGGGGTGAGGGTCCTCCCGGGTGCAGATCTCCCGCAGGCCCGCGGAGGTCGCTCTGCTGCCCCCCCCCCCCCCCAACACACACACACACACACACACTCACACCTCCTGCCCTGCTTTCTCCGGCTTTCCCTCTCTGCTCTCTGCCTCCGCTCCCCTCATCCTCCCTCCGCCGCTCTAATGAAAAAAAACACCGATCTGATCGAGCTTTTCCGGTCTACTAGACCCCAATTTCCTTCCAGACCGCAGGCGTAGGCGCTGAGGGGGCGCGCGCGCGCGCACTGACAGGGGGCATCCTGGGCGAAGAGAGGCGCGCGCGAGGGAGGGAGGGGGGGGAGAGAAGGGGGGACGAGGGTGGGTGGTTTGGAGGGGGGCGACCTGGATCTTTAAAACGCCTCTGCTCGGCTCTCTCCGTATAACCGGCGCCGGGAGAGGAGGAGCAGACTGCGGGGTGGGGGGGGGGAGGCGGAACGCCTCGGTGGATGGGGGCGCACAGGGTTCCTCACCGCGGCCGCGTCGCGTCTCTGCGTCTCCCAGAAGCCTCCTTCCAGCCTCCCGGCAGCCTCCCAGCAGCCTCCCGCCTCCCTCCGGCCCGCTCCGGCCCGTTCCGCCTTACGTAACTCCGCGTCTTCGTCGCTCGCTCTGATTTCGTTCTCCTGAATCCGGGAGGGGAGGTCTTACTCTGAGCCTCAGCCCAAGCCCGAGCCCAAGCCAGAGCCGGAGCCGGATCTGGGTCTGGGTCTGGGTCTGGATCCGGATCCACGGCACGCAACGCAACGCTGCCCCCTTTTTTTTCATTCTCAGAGCGGAGCACCAGGAAAAAACCCACAGGGGCTGGAAACCCGAGCCCGAACGGGGATGAGAACTCACCCCGAGTGGATTTCACTGGTGCTCAGCCAGAAGCATCTGGAAAGGATAACACCGGGATCCACTCCCCCCCCTCCGGAGGACCAGAGCAGTATTCACATCTCAGACATTTCAGCGTTTCAGCTCCGGCGGATGCTAAGTGATGGATTTCAGCTAATGATTCATTATTAGATGGTTTGAATAGCTCCGGCCGCATGCTCTAAGTGGCCCATTTTGGACTGGAAAGCAGATTTTCCCTTCCTGGCAGCTGTGGATTTCAACATGTTGGATTACTGTGTTCCCCTGAGCACAGACTGACGGATAAGCGTCCCTCTCCACAAACCTCGACAGATTCCCAGTCCTCCCAGTCCTCCCGGTAGCGATGCAGTGAGGATGTGTGCAGCCAGGTTCAGCGGCTGCCACAACGGCTGCGCAGAGGAGGCCCCCGCCGGCCCCGCCGTGGCCTCCAGGATGCTGGACTGGAGCGAGGCCGGTCCCCGCATCCTCCACAGCCTGGAGATGGGGACGGTGATGACCGTCTTCTACCAGAAGAAGTCCCAGCGGCCCGAGAGGAGAACGTTCCAGATCCGACAGGACACAAGGCAGATAGTGTGGAGCCGGAACCCGGACAAACTGGAGGGAGAAGGTGAGTTTTCAAAGCCTTCAAAGCCACGGGGGTCTGGACCAGGCCAGTCAAATCCAAACTTACTCATTGAGATCCAAGGCTTCATGATGGTTCACTCATAACTTTATGCCATTTTACATGAACCATGATGGATGTTAAGACACACAAACCCTCCAAACTGACATACATTTGACCACAGAGGGACACAACCGACAACAACAAGGACTTGCTAAACCATTACAGACTCAGATATATCAGGTGAGAGCATTTAAAAGTGAAAAAACTGACTGAAGACACCGCTTTGTGACAGAAACTGAAGGACTGAGGGCCTGTGGGCAGCGATGTGGCTCAGTACTAACAGACATTGGCAACAAATATGAAAAGAAAGGCAAACATGACAAACAACATGACTAAGTGACACAAAGGGATGGTAGTGAGATGCATATAGATGCCAAACCGAAAAAAGGGGCTTATGAAGACACAAAAAGGCAAACGGAGACAAAAAAAAAAGACAAAAACAGAAATCTAAAACAATAAACAACCCAACTGAGAGACGCAGAAGGACAACAGGGAGACGCATAAAGACTCCAAAGTGACAAATAGTGACGAAAAAAAACACACTACTATAAAAAGTAAACTATACTTACTATTAACGATACAATAACAACAAAAACCACCACAAGATGGGTCTATAGTGAGCAAAAGAGACAAATAATGACTCCAAAAACAGAAACAGAAACCCTGTCTGATTTGGGGTGTCTGGTTTCTGTGAAGAGGGGGTTGGAGAGTTTTTTGCAAGCCTGTCTTTAGGAGTCCATTTTCTCACATTTTGGGTATGAAACACGCCCTATCAGGAAGCTTCTGTGCATTACTGGCCGGTTTTGGCCCGACCTGCATCATTTACTCTGAGTTAGAGCGTCGGCGAGCGTGCAGAGGAAGGCTGGGTTCTGCCTCCTGTTTGTGCTGTGGAAGCCTCTGTTTGCTTTCTGTTTCCTCAAAATCAGGTCGCTGGCCGCACGCCTGGCCTCAGGAGGCGACGTATCCGGCGGCGAATGTCACGGAAAAGTCTCGTGTCGTGCAGATTTTCTTTCGAATGTGCAGGCGCGCAGTCAGCTTTTAGCAAAGACAGGGGGGAGAACGGCCATCGGTTTCCCAACCTCAGAGCTGGTGGAAAAAGATCTGGTTTTTGCGTTTTTGGCCGACGTGACCCCTCTAAAACAACACGTTTCCAGGGCTGTCCTTCCTCTGCGTGCGCCGGCTGTAAAAGTTGACATTTTGCTGCGGTGGGCTGGTCCCGTCCCAACCCAAACACCCGGCCTCCTCAGCTGACAGGCGGATCACAACCCGCTGACCTCCTCTTCCTCCACCTCGGCTTGGCAGGAACTCTCCAGACAGGTCCTCGCAGCCCCGGGCCTCTGGCCTGTCTGACCGGCCGTGGGCCGGGTCCAGTGGAAGCCCACTGAGCTGTCGGCTCTGCACCTCTGAGGCACGGCGGCTATTGTATGCTTCCTGGATTCCGCGGCCCGAGGGAGGATTTGTAGGAGAGAAAAACTTAAAACGCATTCGCAACTGGCATGATAAAGTTTCCCTCTGCCTGCCATGTGTCTTTTTTTTACTTTATGTGAGCCAAATGTGGGGGGAGAAGGCCTGTGTGAGACAGAGTTCAGGGAGCTGATGGTGAAAAGTTATGTGGAAATCACTGAGATACTCCCTTTGCTTATAGTAACTGTGGCTTTAGTTGAGTTTTACCAATGTTTTAATTCCAAAGGAAGGTCTTAATTGGGTCTTAACATTTATGAAATGTCAGCATTTTTTCCTGAAAACTATGGTAATATGTTAGAAACAGGTCCAAAGGCATGTGATCTATACCCCAAAACAGACTGGGGTGGTTTGAGTCCTGAGGATGACAGCTGTGTGGCAAACGTGAAACAATTCAAGGGTTTTGGAGCCTCGTGAAGGATTCATTTCCCTTTCAGAGCATGTCAATGGAGCTTTCGCTTATTCTCTGATGATTCTGAGTAAAACCACAGCCGTCTTTCCCAAACTGGTGAAAACAACTTGTACGCACACACACACACACACAAACACATGCTTTCATAACCCACAAACGCCCCTCCGCACACAACCTCCCACTGGACCAAGCCTCCAGCAGATTCCAGGAACCCAGCAGGTCTTCTTCACTTTATCTAGCACAATCCTATCTCTAGGCTCCCCTCTTTTCTTCCTCCTCCTCCTCCTCCTCCTCCATCATCTCCCATCCTCCGGCTCCCACTCGTTCACCTAGCCACCCGTCTCATTTACAGATTTATCTGACCTACGTCTCACTCTCTCTGTTTTTCTCCACTTTCTGTTTCGGTCTGAAGGTAGTTTATTTTCGTTAATGTGACCGACCTCGTCTCTAACCTCCCCGCTCCTGCCTTTCCACCTTTTGTGTTTGTTGCCATGCATCTTTTTTTTTTTTATGTATTCCTCTCCTGCTGCCATACAATAGTTTATCCCTGCACGCACACGCTCGGCTTCTGTTTTTCTTAAAGAGATGAGCTCTTTGGCAAAGTGTGGAGGTATGGAACCCTGAGGCACAGGAAGTGCTGGGTTATCAGGGAGTGTCTCGCTTCCTGTCCCAGATTAAAGGAGTGGAAACAAAAGCTCGGTATCTCCTGCAGGAAGCACGGATGCCGACCACAAATGAGGCCCCTGTGGTGGTTTGACCCCAAAAGGAGTCATTTAAGGCAGATTGAGGGTTAATTAGAGTTTGGTCAATCTTGTCTAAATGTGTTCAATTTTTGCTGGTTTTAAAATGGCTTCACTGGGATTATTTCTGATTCTGATTTCAAACTGGTAGTTCCTTTCCTGGGTTAAACCAGAGAGCCCATTCAGACTCTGACGGCAAATTTTCTGTGATTTTTTTACCAGATACTAGATTTCACAAATGAGTTTTTAACTCTCTGGCTAAACATTTTGCACATCTCATCTTCCTGTCAACCATCATCCCGTTAGGTCGCGTACTGATGACGTCACGGGGCTCTCGGGGCGCCTTTTCCTAGTAAACCCTGCCCACAATGAGGTGGAATCACTTGTAATGGAAGCAAGCTAAACTGAGCTGAATAGGGCTTTTGAGTCTGAGGTAAAAGGCCATCACCGGTTTAACAGATTTCCTGAGAAGATTGAAATGTTTAAATAAAACAAAACAAAAATTAAAATAAAGTTGTATTTTAGCCTTATGGAAAGCATAAATTTAACAATTCTCCAGTGTTTTGAACCCAGTCTGCCCTCAGACTGCTGCTGTTGTCCGTCCCTCATGTTTCTTGGACTTGCTATACACAGTTTGTGCCACTTGGCAGCCGGTGATGTCACCAGCCGTACCGGGAACAGTTTCTTTCACCCGGCGCTCATCAGCAGCTGCTGTTTCCACGGCCGGCGTACACACAAGCTGCCTTCAGGGGCTGTTGTCCAGCCCGGCGCTGGGCAGGGACCGGCTCACGGGGAGCTGCTCACAGAGACGTCCTAGGACCGTCCTGAGGACCATAGCCTCTCACATCCAAATGGTCTGAAATTATAAAGGGAGACGAGGAGGGAGAGGAGGGCAGCTCTGGGCTGGTGTGGAGGAAAATGACAGGAATTGAACTGAGCTTTTTGTAACTTTGATCGTTTTAAAGCTGAAGATTAATGGAAATGGTTTCATGGATGATGAGTGTGGCACGAGCCTACGAAAATAAACCGGTTTCACGAGTGCTCCACCATCCAGAGGAAGTTCAGAGGAGCGAAGAGAGTCACTGAGGAGGCTCGTCTGGTTAGGATCATCATCAAGTGGCACCCCATTAATGAGGGAAAAGTAATAATAGGACTGATTGGGATCAAATTGATGATAGAACTAGATTGAAATAGTTGAGCTGGTACAAAATTGGAATTCTTAAACAGTTCAAACCAGTGAAGAAGGTAAAATCCTGATGGGGGTTGTGAGTCAAATCAGTTCTCAGATAACTAATGAAAGCTCTGTTGTATCATAGATGGAGATCTGTGCCTTCTTTTGGAGTTTAACCCTTACTGAGCAGGGATTTGGGGCTCCGCTTTCTCCGTGTAGCTGAACAAAGAAATTCAAGTTTCCCTTGACGTTTTTTTTCCCGCCAAACGCACAACGTAGACAGAAAGCAGCTTTATGTTTCAGCTCAGTGTGAGCATGGTCCCGATAAATAACCCAAAATAGTCCACGCTGAATCCCTCTTGTTGTCCCAAAGTAGTCAGAGAAAGTGTAGAGGCTTTACTAACTGTGTCAACCCTTTCATTGGAGCTCGTTTGAGCTCGTTTCCATGTGTTGAAAAAGGGGTTTTCTCTTAATCTCATGCCAGACCTTCTATCTCCCATCTGCACATGCAGCTCCCCCAGATCAGAACCAGATTCTCCTCGTGGGTCTTTGATTCGGCATAATTTACAGCCCATAGTTTCCTCCTCCCCGTGTGTGTGTGTGTGTGTCCAGGGCTGTCCGTCCTGTGGACAGATAACTGAGTCCAGAGTGACGGAAGGGAAGCAAAAGCTGTTTTGGACTTATTCCCTGAGCATCCCAGTTATTTCTAAGAAAGCTCCTGTGTGGTGGAAAATGTTGTAAAGTAGGCCCTCAGTTCACGCTTGTGTGTCACAGAGGGTTTGTGTCGGGCCCGTGCGTATCTGTGCGTGTTTGTGTGTGTTTGCACAGCACATCTGCTAAGTCAATAAGCCAGGGTTTTCTCTGTGGGTGTGTCGACCGCTGCAAGTGTCAAAGCGGAGTCCAGAGTTTACATCACATTCTGTGGTCACCCAGCAGAGTCCGTTAACCCTTCAGAGGCCGCCTCCACTGGCGCCGGACACAGGGAGTCCACTATACGGGACCATTTAGAACAGCTGGTCGGTTGTTTAACACACATACAGCTACGTCTGAGTTGAATCGTGCCTCAGAGTAGTTCAAGTCCCAATCTAAAACACAGTGTCTGAGTTTGTTTCTCTCCTCCAGCTGCAGGCAGACACGATAACCCACATTTAGAGTCCAAACCGCCCTGTTAACCGGGATAATGGAGAACTAATTTATCAACTGTGGACCAAGACCTTTGCAGACTTTCTCCAGGGGAGATCCTGGTCCATGCTAATGCTCAGATTGTGTCTTTAAGCTTTATAAATGGTCATTTTGGTCACATTAGATGGACTAAAATCAGGATATTATTGCTTTAAGTGACCCAAAGTTAGCAGTTTCTGATGTTTAGCCATAACAACTTAAGCTTTTCTGGAAATAAATCCGATTGAATAAAACACTAAAACTTTAAAAGTTTAAAAAACAAGCACAAACACATGCACCTTCTGGGTGCGCCTGTCCAGCTTTTTAAAAGTCTGCCTTTGGTTGGACAAACTTGAAAATGAGTCCTGCTAATGGGGTCTTAATTTTTATTAACATCGAATAAATATATGATTTGTTGACTTTTCAGTCATTTTCTATGAATTATCATTGACAAAAGTGTTAATGTGTTGATTTTCAACCCTGTTACAGCCATTTTTTGTGTGTTCTTTAATGAATGGTAATGTCCTAAATGAGAGTTTTTAGATCTTAAAAAAAAGATCTTAAAGCACCGCATTGTATATTATCTTTGATTATTAGTAATGAGAACATCTGGATCATAAAACTTTTTTTTTCTACGCAAAAAGTTGAAAATAGATGGGGGAGCACATCATAAATTACTGTTAAAGAATGGCTGTAGGTCAATTTGTCTCCATTCTTATAGATTCATACTGTAAAAACAAACTAGAAAAATGGAATATTAATTTGGTCTTGGTTGTAGAAATAAGATTTTAAAGCTTAAAACATATCTAAGATTTTCTTAATGACTTGTATGGGGGTTTATCGAGCATTTAATTCATGTATAAAAGGTTTTTGTTAGTATAGAGAATAGAATAGAATATAATAGAATAATTAATGCATAATTAATGCAACATTTCCCACTCACTCTGACCCAGTTGGGCTATTTTATCCTTTTTAAAGGGTCTTTTTTAGCCTGTGAAAAGAGGTTCTTTTTTCCGTTGACTGGAGCTTTTGTGGGGTGGGGGACGCCTGGAGAGGCTTCAGGCCGACAGCGGGGACGGTACAGTGTCTGTTTTTGGGCTCATGCACACACACTGAGCGCCTGTTCTGCTCTCCGGCCGCAGATTTCTGGGTGTTTGGCAGGGAAATGAACAACGTGCCAAAGTGGGATTTATGGTTTCGCATATTTGTGTTCATGCAACTCTATCCTTCCTTCCTTCCTCCCTCCACCTCCTCCCCCTCCAGTCGACATACGGGAGATCCGGGAGCTGCGGTTGGGGAAGGGCTCCCGTGATTTCGAGCGCTACCCGGAGGAGGCTCGTAAAGTGGACTCCGCCCACTGCTTCATCGTGCTCCACGGCCTGGAGTTTCGCCTGCGGACACTGAGCGTGGCAGGTCAGTGTCCTGCCCCTCCTACCGGCCGCAGAGCCAGCAGGTCAAAGGTCGCAAAGCACCCCTCTGTTCACTCGGCCTGGTGTTCTCTTCATTTCTCAGCTTAAGTCCCTCAGAGGGTCAGGTATGCACGGCCGTGTATTTTCCTTAATCTGTAAATCTCAGAAAAAGATCAGAAGCAACAATGTGAGAGACATCCCCTCCCTGATCCCAGAGCAGGATGGACCCTCCGAGGGGCCCCCGCTGTTCCCCATCATCCCCAGCAGTTTCATTATTTACCTAGAAAACAACCAGGAATCCGAAGCTGACTCTCTCAGTCGATGCCCTTAATTATAGTTACCACAAGCAGTCTGTAGTTATAGCTCTCTTTAAAGCCAGAAGAGAGGAAGAAACTGCCTGCAACTGAATTTGAACATGATTTTCTGTAAGTTAGCAGAAACAACATCTAGGAATAAATGTATTTAGACAAAACATTGCAAAAAGGGTTTTCCAAAGATATTTACAGATAAAAGTCCAAGCAGACCAAAACGAATGTTGTAAAACACAAATGAAAAAGTTATCTATAGCAGCATAAAGACATTGCGTTACTGCGAGGCTTTGTAATAATTTCATTGGAAATTTAGAAAATGTTGTTTGACGGCTGAATCAATGACCTGAAATATTCTAAAGCATATTTCAGTTCAAGGGTGGTTGTGAAGCTCAATGAAGCTCAGTTTAAATGTTTCCCGAGGCACCAACTGTTGCAGAGTTACAGTGAATCAAAGTGTGTCTGTGTCTTCTGCCACAGAGCAGCTACACAAGCTGCCATCAGAGAGTTTTTTTTTATAAAACGTTCAAGAAGTCCTCCATCTCTGGTTACCAACTTTAGTTTGCTCTGACCACCCTCAAAGCATACTGGACTTCCTATTAGTGGCTAGAAAATTAACTTAAATGCCTGTAGGGCTGGAGAGCAAACATCAGACGGAAATGAGAGACTTTACAAATGTGGAATTAAAGGTGTTTATTTCTAATTTCTGATGAAGTAAAATGAAAACTTGGTATATTAGGTAATGCACTCACTTTTTTAAATTGAATTGAATTTTTTTGGTTTATGAGTGGAGATGCAAATGAGCGCCTATGCCATGTTTCCATACCAATCTTTGCTTTTCTTTTTCCAAAAAAAGTTGAAAACAGGATTTTAGAGGAATGCTGAATGCACAGAAACGTCCTCAGGTGGCCAGTTTGTCTTTTTAAAGAGCTGTCTGAGTGAGCTCACTTTATTTAAGTTAAAGGAACTGGAGCACAGCTGCAGGACAAAGGAGATAATAGGTTATGGTTTCACTTGACTGTAACAGAACCAAACAACAGGCTTAGAACAAATGTTCTCTGACAGGAAGTAACTCATCTGGGCCAAATGAGGCCAGCTGAAGGCCTTAATCTGAGAAAAAATCTCAGGTTTCAGTGACGGCGCAGCAGGACTCTGTTGTTGTTAGGCCAGAGCAAGCAGTGTGTTTCCTGGGGACTATTTTCTCTGGCGGATTGATCTACGTTTGAGTAAAAAGTAGCATTCTTGGTAAAAAAATAAATAAATCCACATCTGTGGTAGTTTTTTCCTCTTTGTATCTTATCAACCATTGTTTCCTTATGTAATTTGTAAGGTTTTAATCCATCACTTCTATTAAATCTAGGGATTTTCCTAATTTAAGAATGAGACTATGTGTCAATTTTCCTTCTTTTGCTGTTTTGGATACAATGAAAAGGTGGATGATAAAACTAATTTTTTCTGTGATTTTGTAGCCTTCAGTGAGGAAGAGGTCAACATGTGGATCACTGGACTGAACTGGCTGATGATGGACACCCAGAGAGCGCCGGCCCCACAGCAGATCGACAGGTGGGTGGACACATCCCGTCCTTAATCAGGTAGCTCTTTTTGAGGCTTTTTAAATACATGCACACACATCACCTGATAGATAAAGACCAGTTTACAGGGTCACATGGGATTTTGAGTCTTTTTATGTCCCAGGTTCTACAGTTTCCACATACGCATTGTGGTGCATTTAGGTGCTGGTAGCAAGATGGGACATCTGATGAGGGGATTTATTTCTACAGAAAAACGTCCTCACAGAGAGATGTCCCAGCTTTCAAACAGAACTCAAACCATCTTGTATGGGTGTGTTTATTTCCATGTTCTGTGCGCATCGGGTGATGCGTGTGCACATATCCACTGAGCCATTTTGAATAGGAAGAGATCACATAAGTGTGGTTTGAGGTAAAAATCGGTGGAAAATGTTCATGTTTGTGTTCATTTCACATGTTTGAAATAAAAATCTACACACAGAGTGGTTTAAAGACACATGTGCAGCTATGCTGAGTCCATTTTTCTCCATACCATTCTGAAGGGGCCCTAAAACCAAAACTATGTGGACTCGTTGTGGCCTGTTTTCTTTTCCATTTGGCTTTTAATACCCTGAAAGAGTCTTGTTAATTTCACTTATTTGTCTTGATTGAATTTATGTTTGTGATGTAGGGCTGTTTTACTCCTATTATTCTGGTTTAATGACACGTGAATGCATTTGAATGCACAACCAGAGTTGGTTTGACCCTTTTTTGTCATGGGTATCGCTGTCCAACAAAATTTGTTCTTTACATTAAAGATGAAGGACATTGTGTGTGTGCCCATGACTACTATTTATACTTTAATTCGTCCAATAAGATGGACATGAATACATCACAACAGCACGGAAGAGAAGTGGTTAGGAGTCGTCGAAGGAGAGGAGAAATGTTTGTATTGGGTTGAAAACATGTACTGGAGATGAGTGTGAGGAGGCTGCTTCTGGCTTCTGTGGCGGAAACAGCCGAGCGCAGCAGGGCAGTGATGGAGAAAGACTGTTTGACTGGTCAGAGGAAATGAAAAGGCTAATTCTGTCTGTTTGTGAACTGAGCGGTTGTTTGTTTGTGCTGAATGTTTAAAGAACAGTCAAGTTTTATTGGGATGGCTCCGACATTCAGGCCTGCTCGTGGGTGCTTCCGATGAGATTATCTGCCGCATAATCGCTTTACTGTAATTATCAAGTTACAAAAACCTCCAGATTTTGCTCTGTTTTGACCATTTTCCAGTGATGGTTCAACCCCTCTGAGGTTTTGGGTCCTGCCCAGTGAGAGCTTATTAGTCTAATGTCACTAAATTTCCCTCCAATTTTCCAGTTGTTTGCTTTCTGATGAATGCCAGATATTCATCGGCGATGCAGCACATTTTAATTAAAAATACAGATTTTCACACCACAGTACTTTACAAAGGTGTGCTTAACGTGTTATTTCAGTCCTATCTTTCTAAAAGGCTATAATAAAGTGTGGCTGGTTGAAAGAAGTTATGTTTAAAAATAGTTTTTTTATTTTGGTCCAGACTTTGCATTAACCAGTTTTCAAACATTATTTTTGGTTTGGAGAGTCATTTAACAACAACCCCTGAGTCAAGTGAGCAGGAAGAACTCACCTAACCCAAAGGATGTTGTGTCCACAGATGATAAACCCACTTATTTTAAATGATATCTTTAGGGACGATGTTACAAGCAGCTCATTTCTTCTAATTGTAACTCTGAAAAATGCCCAAAATAACTGTCTGACAGACAGAAAATTATATCTCCACACCAACACATGCATTCTAAACAACTAGTAGCCGAATTTGATCAGAAACTACCTATGTTTTTCAAAAGCATGATTTTCAGTGTTTGATGATGAGCAAGAGGGCGTTTTAAGGCCCCCTCAAATTTTAAAAAGTCGAGGATCAACATCAGCTGAAGATGTTCAATAAATTTAGAGCTGCACGGGTTGAGATTCTGTTTTAGTGGAAGGTAATAAAATCTGGCATTTAAGCCCAGAAACTCAACATCTTCAGGATAACCCTAACCCTTATTACTATGTATTTCTGTATTATTCAAAACTGAGAGCTCTCAGTTGGTTCCATGTTTTGATCTTTTTGGCTGAATGGTTTCAGCCTTTCAGCTGCGAGTGGCCTCTCATTTACTCCTTTTTGATTTCCTTTCCCTCTGCAGGTGGCTCAGGAAACAGTTTGAAGTCATGGACAGGAACCACGAGGGCAGGTGGGTGACCCCTCATCGCCTCAGATCAGCTCCACAGACGCTCTCCTGCCGCGGTACCATGTGCCAGCCATGTTTTACATTCAGGGAGGCTCGTTTGGGGCCGTTCGACCTCTTCTCAGCTTATGTCTTATGAAATCCTTCCGTCTGACTTTTGCTAATCTTTCAGATGGTCACTGACATGTGAGATTCTTGGTTCAAATCGATCACTTCCTGTTCAAAAAAGCTCCCTAAATACAGTACATGCACCTGATGCGCACGTCAGACCTCCTGTGGCTCATCTATTCCTCATTCACTTTTATTCAGTCAGCTTTTCTGCACACTCAACAGTTTTAGCTTGACTTTTTTCTACGTTATAGACGTGAGCCTTTGAAAAAAGCCCCCCCCCCCGTGATGGGTGCTGATTGGCTGACGTGCTGCGGGAGGTGGCATTGGAGGGTCCGGGCTTCTGTTTTGGGTGGAAGCCTTTCCAGGACAAACAGCCTGCCGCCGCATGATAAGGAGCAGGAAGTGATGCGACGGGCTGGGAGAGGGCGGCTTCCTGCCACTTGTGAAAATAGTAACGGTAGTCAGACAGAAAGGAGCGAGGCGGCACGGCTCAAACCTGGCAGAAATGTGAGACGACCACCCCAAAAGAGCTTCACCTCCACCTGCTTTTATTCTGTCTTCTTTCCATGTGTCCATGTGTTTAAGTAATCAATGAATAATTGTCCAAAGGAACAGAAGCATCAGAAATGATCCTCCTAATATACCAGTCTTGCGGTTTTAAAACTTTGACAAACATGAGCATGTTTCTCTTATGATCTCCTCATGATCTCCTCATATAACATTTAATTATGACTGTAAATTGCTGATTTGTTTGTTTTTTAACCTGTGGTGTGCTGCATGATTGGAAAACAGGAAGAGTTGGAGGAAAAGGGTGTGTGAGCAGAATTATCTCTGCAAGCATCTGCGAGCCCATGAAATGAAAAACAATAAGTGTTTCCTTTAAAGTATGGAACTATCCTAAATTAATTTTCCAGTGACGGAGGAGTGTATGAATTGTTATTGTTATCAATGCATTTTCAAATATACGGTAAAGATGCAAAAAAAACATAAGATAAATCTAATCCATAAATACGAAAACTACCACAAAACAACCAAAAAGACAAAAACAAGAAGTGCCATGAAATGAACACAAAGAGAATCAAAACCAATCCAGAAGCGCGCAAAACAGCACGAAAAGGTACACAAAATAACCCCCCAAAACATCCAATTGTTGCAAATCTACCAGACAAAGGAACAATCCATCTACAAAAACACACAAAATAACCACAAACAGACTTTGGAGTCTATTGAAAGAGGAGAGAGGCAGGAAACAAAAGTTGCTCTGAGTTCAGATTACACAAAGATAGGGTTGGTCTCATCCTTGCCTCTGTGTGTTTATGTGATATCTCCCATGTTTTACCATCAGATCAACCCTTTATCTTTCCTACATTTTCCCTCCCCAGCATCACGGTGAAGGACGTCAAAGCCCTGCTGCCTCAGATCAACTACAGAGTGCCCAACATGCGCTTTCTCAAAGACAAACTCCAGGTCAGACACTTCCTCTTCTTCTTCTTCTTCTTTAATGTTTTTCCGGGCAGACGCTCCTCTTCCTCTGGGATTTTCTCACCCTTCCTGTTCGCCTGGTCTGTCCCTGTCCTCAGGAGGTGGAGGCCAGGAGCGAGCTGTCCTACCCCAACTTTGCACAGCTCTACAGGACGCTGATGTTCGACGCTCAGAGGAGTGTGAGTGTCCGACTCTTTCCCGAGCTCACATCAGACCCGAGTCAGGGGAGACTTCCCGGCCTTTTTAAAATCGTGATGTTTAAATGAATGACCGGAGGAGGTGAGGGGTGGTGTTTGTGTTGGTATTTGCCTCCCTGTTTTCCGAAGGTAAGCTTAGATCCCAGCACCTCAGCGCTGCCCTCCGTGCACCAGCACCTGTACGACAGATTCCTGCACCCGCAGCACACCACGCTCACTTTGTCCTCTCCTCTTTATGCTTCACCTGGCCCCCTCCCACCTTTCCACCGCCTGGTTCTTCCCCTTTTTTTTCTCAGATAATTGAGCAGCTGGAGCTCTCCTTTCCCCTGCGGTGAGTCCCTCCACCTTCACCCCCCGTGTCCAGTCCTGGCTACCCCCATCCCCCCACTGTTGCCTGTCTACCTGTCCGGCCTCTCTTTATGGGTTTCTAAGGAAGGTTCAGGCTTTGAAATAATGTGTTTCTGCTGTTTTAATGGCACTTAAATGTTTCCTTTTTGGCTGAGTGGAAGGGAAGCATTTTCTTAATGTTACGGGACATTAACCTAAAAAAAAAGAAGGCATAATTAGTCAGCTAATGTATCACGTCTCCATTCTCACTCACCTTCACTTCTGCACAGCTTTCCCCGCTCAGAGGTTCAACATCATTGAAATCTGTTTGGTTTCAGAAATGTGGACCGGCCCGAGCTCTGTCAGATCTCCTTTTATGACTTTCAGAAGTTCCTACAGATGGACCAGAAGGTACTGTGGAAAATCAGCACCCATCAGCAGAAACCCAGCCCTGAAAGTTGCTTTGTTCTCACTTTTCCTTTCCCTCTGGCTGGTCTCAGGAGGCCTGGGCGTCGGACCTGAGTCGTGTCAGGGAGTTTCTGGTGGGTTACATGAGGGCGGGCCCGCAGCCGGAGCCGATGCTGCAGCTAGATGAGGTGGCACACCGCCGAGAGGCGGAAAAAAACTCACAGAAATCCTCAAGGTTTTTCCCTGCCTTATAATTTAGTCCTTCTTTTCCTTCTTCTCCTCCAGTTCCTGACCTTCCTGTTCTCCAAAGAGAACTCTGTGTGTGACCCCAGGCTATCCCCAGTGGTCCCTGATGATATGAAAAGGCCGCTGTCTCAGTACTGGATCTCCTCCTCACACAACACGTGAGTCCTGGAATCTCTCAGCCCGCTTCTGATTCCAAGGATCCAATATAAGCGTGAAAAATGAAAGTACTTTCAGGTCTCCTGAGCTTTTATGTGCCCTAGTTGGCTTGTAACTGGACCCCAGGACACATATTTGTACTTTTAAAGGCCCTGAAAGGTAAACTTATGTTCCCAAGAAGTAAATGAACAAATGAACAAATCAGGACCCAGAGACGAGTCTTTCGACCCCTGAGGGTGCATTTAGGTGCACAAGTAAATTTTTGCAATGGAGGGACAATGTTCATGGCTTATTTCAGAGGTTTGGACTCTTTTTTGTGCTGTGCTGTGATCAGACCACAAGCGGAGGAACTGAGAGGAAGTGATTCAGCCCTAAACTTGGTCCTTCTTTGTAACATTAAGACCTGTCACATCTGGAAGAGGCCTGCAGATGTATGATTAACTTAGAGTTAATTTATGGTTACCACTTATACCCTTTCATGCCTGAATAGAGCATTTTAATAGTTGAAATTGTTGTATTTTGGCCTTTAAGTGAAAAATAAAACACAGATGCACCAAATATGTTTGTGTATCAAACATATATCGATGTATATGTGTATCCATGTATAAATAAATAATCAAATAAATATATCTATATAACTCACTGAAAAGCAGTTTTCCCTTTTATAAAAACTCTTCTTTTACTCTTTATTTTTCCAGCTACCTGACAGGTGACCAGTTCTCCAGTGAGTCCTCTCTGGAGGCCTATGCTCGCTGTCTGAGGATGGGCTGCCGCTGCATCGAACGTAAGAAAAAAACACTCTCATTCTGATAAGGTGCTTTACAAATACAGATTGCAGCAGTTCTATAGAGATGTGGAATAACGGCAAAAATGTAGGTATTTAGTCATGTATAACGATGAGATTAAGAGGTGGGATATAATTTAGAGTATTTGTCATTATATAATATCCATTTATCACATTTTTATCAAATGGAACCATTTGATTAGAAAAAAAAAATTACTTTACTTATTAAAACAAACCAAAGAAAACTTTCCAGAAGCCGTCCAACTCTGGTTAACTTTATTCTGCTCTGACAGCCCTCAAAGCATTCTCGCCTTCTTATTTATAGCTAAGAAATCAACTTTAGATGCATTAGCGCCACCTATTGGGACTCTTAAAAGGTAGAATGAATGCATTAATTTATATGAGATGTATTGATCATAGAAGCTTTAAATGTATCTTTATGTTATCTTTTTTTACTTTTTTGATGTTAGTGGACTGCTGGGACGGGCCTGACGACCTTCCAATCATCTACCACGGCCACACGTTAACCTCAAAAATCAAATTTCTGGATGTGCTGCACACCATTAAAGACCATGCATTCGTCACATCAGAGTAAGTCCATGAGTATTAGATTTATTTTACTGTGATGTTCCTGCTTCTCTTTTTTAGAATGATCATGTTCAGTTCATTCAGAAGATGGAAGTCATATATTTTTTAGTGGGTTCTCTCATTCGTGTTATTCATACAGACTGCTCAGCATCTTAATGAACTGTCATCCAGTTCCCATTTTTAATGATTTATTTGACTTCTTTTTGGAGGGATTCAGACACATTCTAGCTGATTTTATTTCAGAATCTATCCCTGTAACTCAGTAGCCCATTGAGCAGCGTGGTTTTCTGTGCAGGTATCCTGTGATCCTGTCCATTGAGGACCACTGCAGTGTGGTCCAGCAGAGGAACATGGCCACTCACTTTAAGAAGGTCTTCGGAGACCTGCTGCTCACAAAGCCAGTCGACAGCAACGCCGACGAGCTCCCTTCACCTCACCAGCTCAGGAGGAAGATCCTCATCAAGGTACTGGGAAGCCCGTTAGGAGGCCCTCAGGAGCCCCATTGGGTGGCCGGCTTGGAGGCCTGTTAGGAGGCCGCTTTGGTGGTCAGTTAGAACAAAGCTGAAAATCTCTGTGCCTCTATGTGCTTAATTTTTCCCCATCTTCCAGCACAAGAAGCTGGTGGAGGGAACCCTGTACGAAGAGGTGACGTCGGCCAGCTACTCTGAAAATGACATCAGCAACTCGCTAAAGAACGGCATCCTTTACCTGGAGGACCCCATCGACCACGTGAGTGTCTCCGTGTGAGAAAACGCCCTGTTGGCTTACTCTGAACTTAAAACTGGTTGTGTTTATGTGTGTGCAGACGTGGACGCCACACTATTTCGTCCTGACAAGTAATAAGATTTATTATTCGGAGGAGACGTCTCGCTACCAGACGACTGATGAAGAGGAGGACGAGGACGGAAAGGAAGTAAGGACATGAGGAGCGGGGCTTTTTTTATCGCGCGGTCATCCTCAGAAAGGTTATTGTATATCCTCTGCGACCCTTCAGGAATGCAACAACAACGAGCAGCACTGTGCGGAGCGCTGGTTCCACGGGAAGCTGGGCGGGGGTCGCGACGGTCGGCAGGTGGCTGAGAAACTCCTGCAAGAGTACTGCGAGGGCGGGGCCAAAGACGGCACCTTCCTGGTGCGGGAGAGCGAGACGTTCGTCGGGGATTACACCCTGTCCTTCTGGTCAGTGTTTTCTTACACAACCAACAGGAAAAAGCATGTAAAAAATTATGTAATCTTCAATTCATCGACCTGTTGATGAGCCGCATCTGGCTCTGAACTCTTTGGTATCCAGAGGAGTTCATGGTGGACTTTAAGATTGTTTATCAAGCTTATATTGAGTTCCCCCCCCCCCCTATTTCATTTAACTTATCATCTTCAGGTTTGGTTTGTTATCAGAGGAAGCAGAGAAGGAGACAGACCTGGCTTGAATCGGCCTGAGTTAACCCTCTTTGGGTCAAACTTTACAGTTTTAGCCTCTATAGATGGACGGATGAGGATGAGACGTGAACCATTCCGCTTTTAAACATTTGTTTTCAGCCTGGTTGCAGAGAAAGACGTCTGAGGCCCACTAAAGCAGGAGCTCTAAAGCGCCTCCCGTCTCCTCCTCCAGGCGTTCCGGTCGGGTCCAGCACTGCAGGATCCACTCGCGTCAGGAGTCCGGCTCCACCCGCTACTACCTGACGGACAACCTGGTGTTCGACAGCCTTTATCGCCTCATCTGCCACTACAGAGACACGCCGCTGCGCTGCAACGAGTTTGAGATGAGGCTGGGCAGCCCTGTGCCGCAGCCCAACGCTCATGAGAGCAGAGAGTAGGTGCTTTCTGAAAAAACTTGTCCAAGAGATGTAATCTCCCCTTTAAATGAAAGATGAAGCTTGTAGTTTTACTTTTCGACACAGAACTGCGTGATTTTATGAGAGTTTGGTGCTTAAAGAGAGTAAAAGCTGCTTGGATCTTCAGCCGCGATGAGTTCAGAGGGTTGACAGCTTTCTTTGTGTTCCAGGTGGTATCACTCCAGTCTGTCCCGGGTCCAGGCCGAGCACATGCTGATGCGCGTCCCCAGAGACGGAGCCTTTTTGGTGCGAAAACGCAGCGAGCACAACTCCTACGCCATCTCCTTCAGGTAGGACGCCAACCCCTCTGGTTCTCCTTGTTCCATTGCACACCCAATCACAGCGTTCTGGTGTTTCTTTTTGTTTACCTTCGGGGCGTGAAGGGCAGAGGGAAAGATCAAACACTGCCGCATCCAGCAGGAGGGCCGCCTCTTCATGCTGGGCAGCTCGGCAGAGTTCGAGAGTCTGGTGGATCTGGTGAGCTATTATGAGAAGCACCCACTCTACCGCAAGATGAGGCTCCGCTACCCCATCAATGAAGACACTCTGGACCGGATGGGCACCACGGTGAGTGGGACCCTGCTCCATTTATTGTCCTTTTAAAGCCACACAGTTTGCACAACAGCTCGTTTTGTTTTTCAGGAGCTGGACTATGGAGCTCTGTACGAAGTCCGAACTCCTCACTTCTATGTGGAGGCCAATAAGATGCCAACAGCACGGGTGAGACACATTTTTGTCCATTTTTATTTGATTCTGCTTCCGTTAGATTCTGAATGGCTATAAGAAAATATTTTCATGGTGATAATAGCATGGTTAATGTCCTTTAATGTGGTATGAGAATAAAAGTTTAAAGAGGGCAAAAAGTTCTGGAAGCCATCAGACTCCAATCTTAAGTCCTGAAGTGAGATAAAACTCTTCTCAGTTTGAGGACACTTTGAAAATCCTTAAATACGTGTGTGTGAATCGCCTGATACACATGGACGAAACTACGTGCACGCACAGATTAGTTCACACCTGCATGAGGGGTTTCGAGACTCATTTTCTAATTTAGGATTTCCTTTGCCTGCCATGTTTCAGTGTACGGTCAAGGCTCTGTACGACTACCGAGCTCAGAGAGAAGACGAGCTCTGTTTCCCCAAACAGGCGCTCATCCTCAACGTGGACAAGCAGGACGGCGGCTGGTGAGTTCCCACTCACCCGTCTCCCTTTGTGTCCTGTGGAAATGGGAAGCACTCCCAGTAACTGATGTGCGTTTTGAGTTTAGGTGGAGGGGCGACTATGGAGGAAAGAAGCAGCTGTGGTTTCCTGCAAACTACGTGGAGGAGGTGTCCAGCTCCCCCACCAGAGAAGTGGATGAAGTGGTGAGATTTACAGTCGGAGCAGCCAGAAGAGCTTCAGGCGCCTTTAACACACGGACGTTTTCAAATGTCTCTTTGTGTTTCAGTCAACAGAGAACAGTCCTCTGGGAACGTTCCTCAAAGGCTTTATTGATGTGCCCACCTGCCATGTTGGTGAGAAAAACACTCAAAATCCCACAGAGACACAGATGGAGCAAACAATTTAAACTATTATCTATTTAATCAATATTTTCTGAAAAAGCTCTGCCCTGAACTGCTTGTTGATAAAAACCTCCTCCTTTCAGTGGTGCATAAAGACGGGAAGAACTCGCGGGCCTTCGTGTTCACCATCCACTCCCAGCACCTGTCCTCCCACCCGGTCCAGACTCTGGATGTGGCGGCCGAAGGCCTGGAGGATCTCACCGGCTGGGTCAGCAAGATCAGAGAGGCGGCTCAGAACGCCGATGCTCGGGTCAGTACGGTCACAAAGACACCTTTTACAGTTTTAACTCCATTCGGATTTGAATTTTACCGTCTTATTCAATGAATGTAGTAGTGCTACAAATAGAACATCTTACGGAATTATCATTTCTTTTGTAATTTTTATATCCTCTGCCTTTATATTTCACATTTACTCTGCAAGTCTACAACATGACCACTAGGTCTTTGATGCAGCTTTTCTGCTCTGACCTCCTACAGATGCAGGAGGAGAAGCAGATGGAGAGGAGGAAGAAGATTGCGGTGGAGTTGTCGGAGCTGGTGGTGTACTGCAGACCCGTCCCCTTCAATGAAGACAGTGAGGCTTTCTGAGCTTCATTCGCTCCCTTTGAGAGGAGCAGAAACACCTTTGTGTCAGGTTTTTCTGACCTAGCTGCTGTTTGCAGAGATTGGGACGGAGCGGGCCTGTTACCGGGACATGTCCTCCTTCCCGGAGACCAAGGCAGAGAAGTTTGCCACCCGCAGCCGGGGGAAGCGCTTCCTGCAGTACAACCGCCGCCAGCTGTCCAGGGTTTACCCCCGAGGGCAGAGGCTGGACTCGTCCAACTACGACCCGCTGCCCATGTGGCTCTGCGGCTCCCAGCTGGTCGCACTGAATTTTCAGACTCCAGGTCAGTGGGAGAGAAACGAAACATTCACACAGACTGACTGAACACTTGAGGAGAATCGCCTCTGTTATCAATGCATTTTCAAATGTTCTGCTTTACTGAAAATTTTAAAAATAGTATAGAAAACCCAATATTATTTCTGAATAAGATGTCAAATTATTTATATTTCCTGTCAGTTCCTGAACAGAAAAGAGGTTCTGCTTGATGCACTTCTGACTTCTCAGAAAAGCCCTATGAGTTTGCTGAATTTTTGGGGGGAAATGTGGGAGTTGGGTTTGAAATCCTGATTAGGCTGAAACACTGACACAAAACCAACAGATTACAGATGGGAACAGCTAGTAACTCTGTGGAGCTTAATCGCAAGAGAACCTTTCAAAAAAAGAGAAAAAAAGGATGAATGAAGCTTTTATGAAGACCAATGAAATTAAGTTTAAGGATTGTTATGAAAGAAAAAGAACATAATCATGCTTCACATTATAATTCAACTAGTGAATAACTTCTTTAGTCTGTTCTTTAATCAGATTTTTGAAAGAGGTTTTCATGTCTTCTAACAGGTGTTGTTGTCTTCTGTCTGTAGATAAACCCATGCAGCTCAACCAGGCTTTGTTCCTGCTGGGAGGCGGCTGTGGCTTTGTTCCCCAGCCCGACATCATGAGGGACGACACCTTCGACCCCTTTGACAAAGACACGCTTCATGTGGAGCCGGTTACAGTCCAGCTGCAGGTCAGGCCCAGAGCTCAGCTTCGTTACAGTCCCCCTACCTAAAAGCTAAAGTGTTTAACCCATGAACGGTGAACTTTCCCTGACCGCACCAGGTTCTGGGAGCTCGCCATCTGCCCAAAAACGGCCGCAGCATCGTGTGCCCCTTTGTGGAGGTGGAAATCTGTGGAGCTGAGTACGACAGCTGCAAATACAAGACGGACGTCGTAGGTGAGATGAGACATCCATTCGTTTAAAGAAATGACTGCTCTATAAGCCGATCCAATAAAACCAGTAATAGTTCAACTTTCATACAGAATTAAGCTGAACGAGAGACTTTATCACAGAACTGATTTATCAAACGCACATTATGTTTACTGAAAAATAGAATGAACCAGAGAAGCTCAGTTTGGGTTTTTTTCCTCCATGTGAATTTAAACTCTCTTGTTAGCCCATCTTAACAGGCCTGAGTGAGCAGAGGGAGCACCATGTTATTCAATAATTTGTTGTCATTAGCTGGAGTTATCGACTACTGCTACCAGCAGGGAGGTTTCAGGGACTTAAAAACCTGCAGATTTCCACCTACGTGCCATCTCTATATTCCAACCTGGATTCATGCAACACAGAGCTTCAGCATTAACCCTCAACCATGATATGCCCAAATTAAGGGGGTCAACTTGCACATGCCATGCATCATTTAAAAGGGTGAACCCTCCTCTAAAAGATGGGGATGGTTACTCTAAAGCTCTTATTATTGTGCAGCCACATAGGAGAGGTTAGGACAGCTTAAGGCCATTTCAGGGTGTCTGACACCTCTCTAACACAGACCTGTGGTCAGTGGACCCAGGTAACCTCCTCCTCTCCCCCCCACAGCTGACAATGGGCTGAATCCCGTGTGGGTGCAGAGGCAGTTTGTGTTCGACATCCACAACCCCACCTTCTCCTTCCTGCGCTTCACCGTGTACGAGGAGGACATGTTCAGCGACCCCAACTTCCTGGCCCAGGCCACGTACCCGGTCCGTCTGCTGCGGACAGGTGAGGCCGCCCCCCCCCCCGGCTGGATCCGCTCCAACCGAGCCACCCCGCTGTGTTTGTTCATGTTCCCCCCCCGTGTGGTGCTTCAGGCTACAGGAGTGTGCCTCTGAAGAACAGCTACAGCGAGGAGCTGGAGCTGGCTGCCCTGCTGGTCCACGTGGAGATCATCAACCCAAAGGTCCGTTTTTTTTGTCCTCCTTGGGTTCTGCTTATACCTGGAAAAAGACAGCTTTAATTATTACTGTATAAAAACCTCAGTGTAGACAGATCAAACACAGACATAGAAATCCAATATGGATTTCTATGTATAGGTATAGAAAGAGGACTTTATAGAGGGGTTTAAGATCATTTTAGGGTGTGATCAGTGATCCTGCTTGGGTCTCTTTAGGCTCCCTGTTTGATGGCATATAGGTTCAGGTAGATCTAAACATGAAAACCCACTAACCCCTCGCTCACCTCCACGGTGCGTCTATAGGAGGAAGACGAGGAGAACTTGTACACATCCATCCAGCGGCTTCGGGACCGGACCAGCGAGCTGTCCACCCAGGTGTCCCTCCTGGAGAGGTCCGGCCCGGCAGACCTGAGCTATCAGCAGAGTCTGGAGGAGCTGCGAGCGGCTCAGGACCAGCTGAGCGAGCTGGTGGAGGCCCGGAACCGCAGGTGACCAAACACAGACCACCTGGAAGTGGCTTTCTTTCCCCTTGGAGTGGAAATCTCTGATGTTTGTGGACACAGGGAGGTTGTGAGGAGTAATCAGCCTGAGAAGTAGAAAGAAATGTGAGAATAAAAGAAAAAGAATAGGGAGATAAGAATATTTAACTAAATATAATATTTCGTTAGTGCCTAATTTTCACAAAGTGCTTCTTCGTGAAAATTAAACCAGATTAAAGAGAAACAACCCAAATCTTTAAGACTTAGAAACGGATATCTATCACTTGTTTCATCCCTGATTTTAAAAAAAATCAGAAATTTCTGTTCTTAAGATAACTCATAGTTAGTCGAGCTGCTTCTAGTATTTTTAATGTGAGATTTATGTTTAATTTTGTCACAGGGTTCACTTTGATTCTAAAAATTAAACATTTTTTGCCACTTTTCCCAGGCTGATGGAGAAGAAGAGGAGGGACAAGCTGAGGCAGCAGGTGGCAGCAAAGCGTAGCTAATCACCCCGTCCAGCAGACGTCACCAACCTGCAACACAAACGGTGCCCGACAAGCTGGGCAGTGTCTGCCTCCACGATCGGAAGTTTGTAACTGGAGGAGAAGGAGACAAGGCTTCATTCTTGATGGAAAAGTGACAGAAAAGAAGCATCTTGTTGACTAATGGCACTAAATTAAGCTATAAAAGCAGGCCTGAGACACAGTGACAGTAAATGGAGAGGCTAATGGCATCAAATATTCAATCAAAGGAAATCATTTTGGAGTTTTAAACTGTTTATTAAATGAAAACACGAATTTATGAAGAAGGCAATTGCTGAAATAAATCAAGTTGTTTTTGGTTAACGTACTCACAGCAAAAAAATACATTTTCCAATTTAGAATTTTGTGATTTAACTTTAGTGAAACGTCGTGCAGGAATGCAAAAAAAATCCAGAAATTAGAGGCATGACCTCTTTAAATGAGATGGGGTGCTCTTTGATGCTGCTTTTACTGTGTTTCAGACTGTCTGTAACAGGAAAAAAAGGGAGAAGAAAACTCAGGTTACATAAAAGAGAGGCAGAAGTGTTGAAAACTGGATGGAGGGGGGAGCTGTGGGCACCGGTAGCAAAAGGAAAATATCCTGTTTGTGCCTTTGTTGTTGGCTTTGGGGAGTTTAGTTTATCTTCAGATAAATCCTGAAGGGGGAAAGGCTCAAACCACTACTCATTAAGGGATTTTAAGACTGAATCTGCACCTTCTGATCAAGACCGAATTTTCTTGGGGGGGGCGGGGCAGGCAGGTGAACTCTGACCCCGGGTTCTGAGCTCCGGTTCTGCCCGGGAGAGCACAAAATGCCCGACAAATCTTCAGAAAACCACACCAGAAAGGTCTTTTAATACTACTTTTAAGGGCTCTAAAGTTATCCATACTACCTTCAGAGAGGCACGAGAACAGGTGGGGGGACGAGGCGGGCCCCCCCCTGGATGTCACATGCCACACAAACACACGCTCATGACCAATAAGGGCTAAGACAGAAGACTAAACGAGCACTCTTTTTTCTACCCGCCGGATCCCGTTCAACACCTCACAGAACCACACATCTGTCTCCGGTCCGCAGCTGTCCCACCGCTCCCGGCTCTGCCTAAAGCAGACTGCATGGCTTCACCTCTGACCCCCCCAGACCCCCCCGTCTACTTTCTCGTCATGTATATAACTTCTATTATTTATCAGACCCTGTTTTAGTAGATGAAAGAACATATTACAAGAATGAAGTTACTGTAACTGTTTGTAGGAATTATTATGGTGTACCCGAGCTCCCTTTAAATGTCCCCCATCGACACGAGACACCCCCCCCCCCCCCTCCCCCCCGCACCCCCCCCCGTGCAGGGAATTCTATGCAAAGGTCATCGTGGCCTACAGCCATTGTGTATCAGGCGATTTGACTCCTGTCGTGTTTTCTCCCTGCACCTATGCTAACTGTCCACTATTATTACTCTGCATTACCAATCCTGTGCAAGTTTCCAGTTAATAAAGCTGTTTCATGTCCCCCAGAGTGTGCACGCTTATCTTTTTAGAAGCTGTTTTTGTCAGAGAAGTAGATGGTGAAAACAAGGATTACTATGAGCACGGTTAAAACTATATTTTTATTTAAAAAAAGAAAGGACACTTTTGAACCAGCTTGTAAAATGTGCATGGAGAGGATACTCCCACTTCATACATGGAGGGATCAAAGCAGCATGTATGTGAGGGTGCTGGCAGTACCATCGAGGAAAACATAACTCTGAATCACATTAAAACCTTACGTAATAATGAAGTTTCACATATCCAAGGTCCACCTTTTATCCCAAACATACACACAGGGGATTGAACATCAAACCAGTGTGCATTTTTCACAGTTAAACTGGTCAAATATTCTCCTCCTAGAAGATATTCTCCAGACACCTCGCCAGCGTCCGACTGAGAAAAATAGTCAGGTTAAAAAAGCCTGAAGGGTTCCGACGTTTTAATCAGAGGACAATGACTTCCCTGCGGGACGGGAATCCCAGAGTGAGAGAGATCAGAGTCCCCACACTCTGCGTGTCAGAGCCGCTCACACAGGTAAATCACTATCTATATCATATATATATATATTTTTTTTTTAAGGTTTTTATCTTTGGACAGAGCTCTGGTTTTACACCCATCACATCTTCAGAATGATCCATGTTTTATGGTTTCTGCTGTGAGCAATATTATTGTTGAAAGCAAGGTTGAGCAACAGAAAAAAATATCCAAATCCCAACTTATGTTTTACTGTGCTGGTAAGCTGGCTGATTAACTTTGACTTTTGTTTTCTTCTCTTTTTGTTCATGATCAGTTTCTTTATGAGATATCACAGTCTATAAAGACGTGATTCTCACAGGAAGAAGTGAATGTGTGAGCACTGCTGAGGCTGAAAGCTGATCTAACACTTTAAATCCAGATAGGAGCTGGTTTTTGTGTCTTTGTTTGAATTTTTTAAAAGGCTGTGTTAAAGGAGCGTGGTAAAAGGATGGTTCGTGTCCTGCATTGACACACTCTCTCCTGCAGGGGGCGCAAAAATGCTTTAAGGAGGTGATTGATGTCAGCTCAGGTGATCCCCACCGAGCAGGTATGAAACCCATCACATTTATCAGACAGGTGGGTTATTTCTTTTTTGATTTAGTACATTTTGGTTCATTTTATAATCTAATTGTCCCCCTTAATTTTCTACACTTGATGGATGTTGTCAAAAAGAAGTTTTTTTTTTCACCATGTGATTAACACAAACTACAGATCTGATAAATAGAAAGGATCACACCATCATAGATGTCCAGGTTATGGGCACTAACAACTTTATGAAATGTATACGATAAAATCCCTAAATTGCTACAGCTCTGTTGAGAAACGTTGGTCTTAGACAATTTTTTCACTCAAGTGGTCACAAAGTCAGGAGCTTTGCCCAGTTCTTGTTAATGAACCACTGAGACTTTCAGGCATTCTCCTTTATTACCCAATCAGAACTTGCACATGGTTGTTTTTTATAACTCTGAGGTTATATCTGTGTTAACATTACATACTATATCTACGAGCTGAATTAGATCGTAAAGGTGGAATTTGATCTCCAAATCACTGCATACTGTTTTACTCTTTATTCCCCGTGTTTCTCGCTGACCGATCTCCTCTGACCCTGACCTGGTGCCTCAGGTCTTGGCCGTGTGTTTGTACCCTCAGCTGCTGGAGGATGAAACTCTTCCTCTGGATGTCAGGCGTCGAGCTCAGAGGCTCCTCCAGGCTTGTGATGGTGAAAGTTTAGGTGAGAATTTGAGGAAAAAAGACACTTTTCCAGAAAAAAGTGCATGGATTTATAGCACCAATGAGCAAGACTGACCTGACCGCACAATAATGAGGGTGCATCCCAAACTGCTCTGCAGGCTCCTACACCGCCTCATCTGGACTGCCTCACGTCAGGCAAAGCATCGCAGAGTTCATCATGAAACGAGACGCTGGAGTTCCTGCTTACAGCAGGAACATCTTTATCTCAGCCGGTGCCCAAAGAGCTCTGATGGTAGGAACACAAACAACTATCATCACCATTAGTTCATCTTTAATACAGGGAAAATAAAAGTTGCTGTTTTTTATTCTAATAAAGTTAAAAGTTGTCATCTAGGAACAGAAATCAAGCAGTTCACTGCTTTACTTTCTCTGTACAGTTTACTTTCTCTTTGTTTTGCTTATTCATTCCATTCACAGATGTACTTTGTTGTTGTCATTAGAGTTTCAGCTTCACAAATGAGGCCTATTTGATTAAATATTTAACCGGTTATGCAAACGAAGATGTAAAATCCTGCAACTGGAAAATAAACCTTTAATAACCTTTCATTCGAAAACTTAGAATGCAGAAATCTTAGTTGAGAGATGTGTGATCCTGTGTATTTACATACAATGTACATATTTTGGAGTTGGAAAGCGGTATTCTATCCACCATCGTAAAGCTGAAATCTTACAGGTAATTAACCAATAGGATTCTTTTATGGGATGCTCAGATATGGATTGTTCTCTCAGGTGGTGGTGAAGCTGCTGTCCGGCGGGGAGGGGCAGAGGCAGACGGGCGTGCTGACCCCCCGGCCCTGCCCCCACACGCTGCCCGCGCTGCTGCGGGAGGCCGGGGTGGCGGCGGTGCCCTACCGGCTGGCGGGGGGGCGGGGCTGGGCCGTGGACGTGAGCGAGATGCAGAGGGCTGTTCGGTCCTGCAGAGGACGCTGTGAGCCCAGAGCCCTGTACATCAGCAACCCAGGGAACCCCACAGGTCCACAATGAGTTCCACAGACCACCAAAGCTGCCCGCTGTGGTCCCCGCTCATGCAGCTTGTTGGGGTTTTAGGGCACGTGCAGGACCGGAGGTCCATCCAGGATGTGCTGGAGTTTGCGGCAGCACAGAGGCTCGTGCTGCTGGTCGATGAGGTGATGCTGGACCATCAGTCCAAGTCAGAGTTCACCAGGACTGCAATATTAACTTGACAAATGAATATTTATACAGATTTTTTAGGTCAGATTTTAATTAACGTCAGTCCTGTTCAAAACTATCACAGATTTGAAACCCTTTAGATTTTAGGGCAGGGCTACTAAAGAGGAAAGGAAATACATTTGTTTATCTATATGTCCATCCAAATTTATAGCAAATTCCCATTCCTTTGTATTTAACCTTGTATTTATGATTGAACATCTTAAAGTTCTGAAAGTTCTAAAAGGATCAGTAACTTTGAAGTGGACTTTTTTCCCCCCATTGTGACTTTAGAACATGTTTTACTAATCTGTTTTAAAAAATCACAAGTTGGAATTCAAAGCTGATCATGAGAAAGACTTTAAAATGAAGTACCAGAGCAGATGAGGCTCGGATAAAGAGGAACACTTTGATCATGAAGCCTAGACAGGCCTTCGGTTCAGAGCCGGTAAAAGATGTCCTCTGCTCTCCAGGTGTATCAGGACAGCGTCCATGGCCAGGACCGAGAGTTCATCTCCTATAAGAGGGTTCTGTTTGAGATGGGCTCAGAGTTCTGGCAGGCCGTGGAGCTGGTTTCCTTCCACTCCTTATCCTGCGCCACTGTGGCAGAGTGAGTTTTTCACCGGCTGAATTCAGCCTGTTTCCTCCTTAACCTGACGGGATCAGACGTGGCTTTGCTACCATCACCTCCGTGTCCAGGTGTGGTCTGAGAGCGGGCTACCTGGAGGCTGTCAACATGGACCCGGGGGTGATGCACTTTGTGGACACCCTGCTGTGCACGGACATCAGCACCCCGGTCCCGGGACAGCTCGCTCTGGATCTGATGCTGGACCCCCCCAAACCCGGAGACCCCTCCTACGGCACGCACATCCAGGTGAGCGCCCGGAGCATTTTAAAAGTCTGCCGATGTCGATGTGCCTCTGAAAAATCGGCTGTTTCGCGCGTCCATCACAGGAGATTCTGCTAAGGAGGAACACTCTCTCCCACAATGCTCAGCGGGCTCTGGGGCTCCTGAGGGAGCTGCCGGGGGTGAGCTGTCAGCCGGCGGAGGGGGGGATCTACCTCTATCCCCACCTGCAGCTACCCGCCGAGATCAGGGAGCGGGCCCAGGTCAGCGGACACAAACAGCACACACACACACACACGTATACATGTGTATATCAAAACTAAAGACCAGGCAAATAAAACTGTGTTTTATTACAAACTGGATTGAAGCTTGTTAGTTAGTTGTTTTACCATACTTCTCTTACATGTTTTAGATGCTCGGAATGGAGGCAGATGCTTTTTACCGTCAGAAGTTACTGGAGGAGGAGGGTTTGTTGGTGGGAGCAGGTCAACAGGGTGGAACAGGCGGCAGCCCTCATCTCAGGTGAAAACTACGCAGCCGTTTTGGTCCCAGACTTCACATCGCGTCTTCTTTGGCCCAAGGCAACTGTTTGTTTGTTTGTTTGTTTCCCCGGCTTCAGGCTGTGCGTCCTTCTTCCTCCCGAGACCCTGGAAGAGGTCCTGTCTCGCCTCCGTTCCTTCCACCTCCGGCTCATGAACGCCGACATCAGCAGAGTTTGAGCTTTGCTGACTTCCAATTAGTGTGAAATAAAGCTTGTAGCAACTTTCACTGGAAGAGAAACACAACATTTAACCCAAAGGATTCGTTCTCTGAGCCTCCACAGTAGGATTTATTTCTTTCATCCATTTATACCCACAGTTTTGCTTTTGTATGGAGCAAAAGATCAAGCAGAGCTCAATCTGGAGGAAAATAAAATCACTTTTATTGACTCGGACTGAATAATCTGCTGCGATATGGAAAACATGAAGTACCATTTCCCAGTCGTCCTTTCTTTATTAAACTGAGTTTCACAAGAGGAAACTGCTTCATTTGTGTTTCTGTTTTTATAAATAAATTATGAAAAGACCTAAGCAGCACAAAATGAGATTATCGATTGAAAAAAAAAAACTGAAAAAGCTGTTTGCAAATATCCCTGCATTTAGTGACACAATAATAAAACCTATGATTGTGTGAAAATAAACTAATTTGTGACACTCTTTACAAGCACAAGGCAGGGTCTAATTACAAGTAGAGGGCATAAATCAACCATCACAGTCACTTTTCCCAGCAAAATGGACATAAATTAAAATAAAAAGGTTCTATCAATAACAGGGACTTTTAAAATGTGATAATAAGCCTATTTTTGTCCTGTCAAACACTTTCCCACACAGCTGCCCCCTAACTACTCCTTCTCAGCTTAGTGGGTGTGAGACTTAAAATTGCTGAGTGTAGTGAAAAAAGATTTTCCCACAACTTACAGGAATCAGGTTTCTTGCCCATGTGCACCCTCACAGGACCAGAAAGACGAGATTTACTTATAAAAGTTTTGCCACACTCCCCACAAGAATAATGTCTGTCCCCTGTGGGAGTCCTCCTGTGAGCAAATTACAGCAGAACAAGAAAAACAAAATCATGACATCAAGGTCTGAGTCAAATCGGTCCAAAGACAACAGGAGATAAAAATGTTGATTCACACTCAAATCAGTCAAACACACAAATAGTGTTTTTCTTTTTTTTAATTAAATCAGGAGCAACATGAACTATGAAATCACTTTCATGTATCATGACATTGTGACATTTTGAAAAAGTACAAATACACATATGGAAAATGAACTCCCTCTCAAACAGACTCAGAGTGATTCCTGAAATTCCATACCATGATGCTCAGTAAAGGAGAGTCTCAGTTTTATTTGCCAGAGAGAAAACACACATTCAGGAACATGCCCACGCTGAGACTTAAGAGCAATTAAACTGGAACAAGGCACCCGAAAGAACTCACAGATAAATCTGTATTTAAAAAAAATCAATTCAATTCAATTTTATCCATATAGCGCCACATCACAACAACAGTTGTCTCACAGCGTTTTCCAAACAGAGCAGGTCAGACCCTACTCTGAAGTTAATTACAGAAACCCAACAATTAGAAATGGAAATTCTAGCCTTAAGGGACAGTGAAGGCTTTCACTAATAATCCATCCACCACAAGACAGAAACTCATACATACAATACATCTTGATCCTAACGGAGGCTCTTTGATTTATGCATTTCATTCTTTGGTTTGTGCTGTCCTGTCTGGTTTGGCCACCAAAACGCCTCAACAGTTAGCTCTCTTTCTATTAGCAGGTAAAAACGCTGGTCTTCCCCTCAGTCTGAAGCCTTTCCCTCATGTCTCACGACGGGCGCGGCCGCCGCGGCGCTGTGGATTCTGACGTGATTGCTCAGGGTGACGGGGTACTTGAAGCGCCGGCCGCAGAACTGGCACAGACACGGGCGCTCGGTCAGGCATTTGGGGAGGTGGGCCTCCAGCTCCCTCTGCAGCAGGTAGCTCTTTTTGCAGTGAAAGCAGTCGTGCCTCTGGTGAGTCTTCATGTGAGCCGCTTTGTCCAGCCGGGAGGGCAGCTGCTGGCCGCAGATCTTACAGGAGAGGCAGGGATTCCGTCTGTGCTTCATGAGCATCCTCTGACCGGAGAAGGTGCGCCCGCACGTCTCGCAGGACAGCGAGCCCTCCCTGCTGTGAGCCCCCAGGTGCGCCAGCAGCTGGTGCTCGTGCAGGAAGGTTTTGCGGCAGCGCTGGCAGGTGTGCACGGCCCGGTCCGAGGCCCGGTGCGACACGGTGTGCGCGGACAGACTCTGACGGGTGAGGAAGCTCTGCCCGCACACCTCGCACACAAAGGTTCTCACTTCCGCGTGCGTCTCCATGTGGAGGGCCAGCTCCTCCCTCGGGAACTGTTTCTTACAGATTTGGCAGGACGGCATTTGGGGCTCTCTGTGGTTTTTGGAGTGAGCGGACAGGGAGCTCCTAAGGTTGAAGCTTTTGTGGCAAACGGGGCAGATGTGCTTCTTGCCGCTGTGCAGCTCTCTGTGTTTGGCAACCTGGTATCGGTTCTTCATCCTCACGCCACACGTCTCGCACAGGGGTTGGCCTTTGATCCTCCGTGGCTTGGGAGCGCCGCGTCCTTTGTAACTGGAGGTCTGGTTTTGGGCGTCTGATTGGGAGCTGAGCGGAAGGACCTGCTCGGTGCCGGAGCCTGGCTTCCCCTCATCAAGCTCTTCAGAAACGGAGACGCTTGTGTTGGTGGCCACCTCCCGGTTCTCCGCCTGCCGACGGCCGCACAGCTCCTCAAAGTCTTTGCTCACAAGCCCTTCATTTTCCTTTAAGCCAAGTCGCTCCCAGTTGAAGAGCTGTTCTCCAGGATGAGCTCGGCTTTCCCTTGGGTCAGGTTGCTCTGGGACCAAGTTAAAACACACATTAATTAAAAAAGAAGAAGAAATAAATAGAAACAGAAATGTGGGCAAAGTCAAAGTCCATTCAACTCTTCACAAACACAGATGAGTCCAGCTATGTTTGGAGGTTAACAGAACAGTTTCATTAGACCAGACACCCCCCCCCGCCCCCCGTGGTCCCTGCTTCAGCACACCTGATTCACCTCAGTGCATCAGATGGGCAGGCCTTCATCTTTTTAAGGAGATCTATTTAGTCAAATTCGGGTAGCTAGAAGCAGGGAAACATCGAAACTCTTTGTCTGTAATTGCCTAATAAAACCTAACTAAAGATGCCATTAATATGCAGTTTTTAAGACTATGTTAACTTGTGTGTAAAAGTTATGAGTGCAAACTAAATCACTTAAAGCGTTAGTCCAGCGATAAGAGCTTGATTTTTTATTCTAAATGTATTCTCATTTGTAAATAACACTTACCTGCATCATATTCAAATTCATATTCATATTCATAGGGGCTGCTGGGAGTGGGAGAACAGTCTGCACTATCGGAGGGCCTTTGAGGAGCGTTTGGTTTGATGTTTGTCATCAGGTGCTTTTTTCCCGGAAACACGGACAGCTCCACAACAGAGTCTGAGTCTGTGACGTCACTGCCCTCGCTGTTCAGGGGGGCCCCGAAGGGAGACGAGGGGGGCTCCAGTTCCAGCTCCTCTCCCCTCACTGGGGGCTCTGCTTCTTCAGGGTCCACATCAGAGGTTTTCCCCCGTTTCAGACCCTGCACAGCAGGGACATCGCTTTCCTTTCCGGGATCTAGCTCTGGGAAGCCTTTAGAGAACAAAAAGACGTTTCTAATACAGTGTTTTTTCCTTCTAAAGAATAGTTAAAGTAGAAATATTTCCGTCTGAATAATAAGATTACAGACCCCAGTTAACCCCAGAATTTGTGTGAAAGAATGGAAACCCAAAATAATGAATCACGGTCAACATTTTTTTGCTTCTTACCTATCCTGTGGAGCTTTATGTGAGGCGTGGATTTGAGCAGGCCCGTAAATCCTTCCAGCTGTTTGCGCAGAGTATCGATCTCCTCTTCGTATCGAACAATTGTATTCTCAAACTCTTTGCATATTTCCTCAGCAGCATTTAACAGCTGCTCTTTTATTATATATTTTAGGCGATTAACAGTAGACATTTTCGCCTAAAGAGAGCCCGCCAAAACAAAATTAAACTATACGGTGTAC